TATTCATTTATGTCTTTCATTAATGAATATAAAGATACATTTATATGCGTTGTTGTCAGTTCAAGGACTCCTATATGCCATGGAAAGAATAATTTTCTTTAATACTGGATCCTCTGGGCTTAGAGACTTTTACAAGAATCATTGGCTGGGCTTACATTTTTGTGGTGATCACTCTGTACTGAATGCTTTGATAGGTCCAACTTACTGTGACATCTGCACATTGTGTCTTAGGAGCTGGGTCTTGCACTTCTAGTTTTTCTGTCACTGGGAGAATCACACAGACTTTTCATAGCAAATTGGCCCCATTGAAACCTACAGATCATTTTAATTCAACTGCATATATATAGGCTTGGTCTAAATTGAAAGTGTTATTTTTACTGGACCTAATTCCCTACTGTGTGACTTCTGCATCAGAGAAATGCAGTAGAAATCCTGAATCTAGGGAGAATGGAACTCTCTAATTAAAAATTATTTTGGAACCAAAGACAATCTATTAATTAAGATATCAAAGATGAGATGCAATCTAATATTTGAAAAAGAGTTTTATATTTTGCATTTTGTTTTATAAGGCTGGGGACAAAGTGCATTCCCCTAAGATTTTTAATACAAGAATGTTTTCTTAACAACTTAACATTATTCTATTTGTGAATGTAGGTGTGTGAATAATGTTTGTGGCATAGAATAATGATTTTATGTAAGTTAGAAATTTATTTATTGTGACTAAAATTTCAGACAAACCTATTAAGATAAATAATTCAGCAATATCAAATCAAAGTAGAGATACAGATACTAGAAATAGAATGTAGACAGATACTATGCATTGACAGAAATAGAATGCAAACAGCTACTATGTATTATAGAAGATAAACAGTTAAAATGAGTAAAAGTTCTTCACTAATATAAACAATAAACTATCTTGATATATAAATTGAGTTGTGTTTTGAGGTTGGATGATGTTGGATACTGGATACCAGAAAATGGAATCCAGAATTTGTTTATTTATTAATTTATACATGGAATATGAAATCCAGAATTAATTTTATATTAATTAATTTTTAAAGATTTATTTTATTTATTTATGCATACAAAAGCTGCGGTGCAGACCAGAGGTGCGGGGATGTGGTGACAGGATTCACCAGTGACAGAGTGGGGAACAGAACAGGTGAATCTACTGAAATATACCTGAGGGGAGTAGCAGGCAAGACAGGAGAGGTTTGCTGCACCATGTGGGTTAGCTCCCTGGCTGGGGCTTGAACTTATGCTACAGATAGCTGAGACTTAACCCCTTGTGCCACCAAGGAGTCCCTTTATATTGATTTATATATGTAATTCATATACATACATACACACACATATATAATGCATTTTTTTGATTGAGGTAACATTGGCTGTAGCAAGCAGTGCTATAGCACTTGGCTATAGCAAATAGCGCTGCAATGAACAGGGTGGTGCATACACTTTCAAATCAGTATTTTCATATTCTTCAAATAGATAACTAAAAGTGGAATTGCTGGATCATATGGTAGATGTATTTTAAAACTTTTGAAGACCCTGCATACTGTTTTCCATAAAGGCTGCACAATTTACATACCCACCCACGGTGTACTATGGTTTAGAGGGTGCATTTTGTAAATTTTAAGCAGAGTAGTGACTTGATCAATATGATGCTTTAGGAAGCACACAGGGTAGATTGAGAGGCCAAATGGGAGCTGAGTTTTATTCAGTCAATATAATTCCTAGGGGATACAGTTATCTGAATTTGGAGTGATTTTTGTTTCAATCGTAGGATGATGATGTTGGCATATTAGTGGGTAAGCACCATAGATACAAGACATTCTATTGTGGGTAGGACAGTTTTAAATAAGAAATGTTGATTTTATATCACACATCACTTCAAAATGTCTTGATGGATAATAGAGACTAAAAACTCTATCTAAAATACATCTTTTGAAATATCAATCTATACAAATAGTTCACCTGATTTAGCTCACCTGATTTAAATAACATTGAATGTTCTACAAATAAATCTACTGAGTAAACTTGAAACTGTGCAATGATGGTGGAGCCAAAATGCCACAGTTGGTGGCTTATGATCTGTGCCCTTACAACTGCAGCTGCAGGACACAACTCAGGCTCAGAGTTCAACAACCATAGGGTTTTTTATTCACAAAGGGAGAAAAAGCGAAATTTGGAGAGAGAGGAAAGGATGGGACAGCGGCAGTAGCAATGGTTTTATGGTCAAAGATTGAAGGTCATGAAGGTAGAAGGTCATGCACAGGTCTTTGTGAAGTGGCATCATGGCAGGGAGCAACAAGTAGCTGACAATCTGGGCAGGCAGCACAGGACACAGGACTAGACAGTATCAAAGGAAACAGCACCACATGGTGGTGCTGAAACACGCCTCTCGGGGCTGGGTGTCTTCAATTCCTGGTTCAAGTTGATAAATGGGCAGTTCCTTGTTCAGATTGATAAATGAGCTTGGGGGTTTGGGGCACCCTGTTCCTAAGTGACTGCCTGTATCCATTTCCTAACTTTGTGTTTCAGTAGAATGCAGGGACCACCAATAAAAAGAGCACCATTACCATCATATTATTAACATTCTAGACACCAACATGAAAATACCTTGAAAAAGTGCAAAATCTATGACTTCACTGCAGATGATTCAAATTATACAGGTTTGGCATGAGACGTCTGTTTTTTCTAATTCATGTTAATTCTGAGACACAATCAAATTTGGGAATAGTAGTTTAGATTACTGGACTTTCTGTTTTTATTTTCTGTCTTTATTTTAATATAATATGAACAAAAACATAAACACTTCTACAGAGACATAAAACTTTTTCTTCCAAATCTATTCCCAAACTATGTTTGCTCTTTATCATTATAAATGGATAAGATTACTGTTTTTAAATTTAAATACACTAAAATTTATTTCCTGAGCAAAAACAATATATAGACATTATAAAGGACAAAGTATATGTGCAATTGTTACAGAGCAACCCCAAAGAGAAATGGGGTGGCCTAGGTTTGAGTCCTCACCTATGCCCTTAAAGAAAACCTCAGGACAGGGGCCTCCCTGGTGGCGCAAGAGGTTGAGACCCCACCTATGAAGCTGTCCCCAGCCACTGCAGCACGAGTTCAACCCTGGCCAGGGAGCTACCCACATGGCACAGCAGACCTCTCCTGTCTTGCCCGGTGTTCCTCTCAGTGGTGTATTTCAGTCAGTCTGCCTATTCTGTTTCCCGCTCTGTCTCTGGTGAATCCTCTCACCCCCACATCTCTGGCCTGTACCACAGTTCTTGTATGCATAAATAAATAAAAACCTTAAAAACAAAACAAAACAAAACCAGGACAAGAACCAAGGGCAGACACACAGAGAAAAATCAATAAAAGGCTTATTTACAAGGGAAATGAGAAAAGGGGGAGCGCAAAGAGAGAAAGGGGTTAGTTTGTTGATCTACTGGTGGGGGCTGGGATCTTGGTGCATGCTGAAGGCAGGCAAAACCAAAGACCCCCCAGGCCCACATGTGTTCAGTTTTATACCAAGCCTAGCTGCTTAACTCCACCCTTAGTTCCAGTAGTCCCCCCTGCAAGAAATCAAGAGTCATGACAAATTCACGGCATGATGGGAGTTGTAATCCTCAGTGCTTGGGGTCTCTTTGTCATGGAGCTGGCGATAGAGTCCATAAAACATTAGTGGGTGGAGTTCATTCAGAATACACTGTTACCCCAACACAGTGAATTTATGTAACTATAATATTTATGTAAATGCACATGTATACTTTCTGCAATAGTGATAAATATGATGCATTGAGAAAACTCATCATATGAACAATGCCAGTATCTAATTTTATCTGTACAATGACTGACTTATTTTTAAGGACATTGCGTTTTGAGATGGCAGCAAATATTGTTTAGTTTATCACTTTTTGTGACATTAATGAAAAACTTTCTTTAACAATTTCAGCAATCACTGGTAATCAGTTTGACTTTTGCTACTAAAGGAGAGGAAAACAATGAAGTTATTCAGTTTAAAATGCTTTATTTAAATAGCTTTGTTTTGGTTAATCCATCAAGTGGTCTTATATAACCCCTTTAAACAGTCCAGTCTGGTGTGAATCTTTATTGCTTAGTTATTTATAGATCACCAGGGAAACAAATTTGAAAACCCCTACTTTTAAGGGTTTTAAGCCAGAAAAAAATAAGCCAGAAAGAAAAAGAAAAATACAGGATGGTCTCACTCATAGCAGGAATTTAGAAAATGCAAATAAGGACTCAGGAAAAAGACTAATTATAATAAAGTAAAAATCAAAATCAACAGGCAACTATAAACCAGAGACAAACTATGGGGGGGGCGGGGGGAGGAAGGGACAAGGGAGGAAGATCAAAACAAGGGTGGTGGGAATTTACGGGTACTATAACCAAGATGAAAATGCATACATTGTACAAAAATGAAAAATGATGTAAAATATATAAAATAAAAAAATAACAAAATAATAAAAAGAAAAAGAAAAAAGAAAGTTTTTTTTTTCTCTAATTCAATCTTCCTCTAATATAAAATATCTTGTTTTGGACCACCACATTTGGATCACCTGATTCCAAAAGCAATTTTTTATGTTAAATTTTATGTTAATTTAAAAAAAGGGCTTGTGTAGTCTTAAAATCTTTTCATCAGTAATAGTTTTAATATTTTGTTATAAATAAGATATTTGGTATATGAACATTAGAGGATATAGTTACAAAATTGCTGCATGAATTAGGATGAGTTTAGAGCTGTTTAAATAGTAAAGGATGCATTACTATTCTAATGGTTGAATAATGAATGCCCATTTATAATAAAGTATGCTAAGAATTTAAAACATATTATAAGCAATTTAAGTTTATTTCCTACACCTATAAAGAATGAAAATGGAATTTTCAGCATCATGTTCCTTATATGCTTTTCTTATGATTTTCTTTTTTTAAATTTAACTTTATTGATTTATTTATACAATAGCTGGGGTACAGGCCAGAGGCGTGGGGCTGTGAGAGGATTCACCAGAGACGGAGCAGGGAGCAGAACAGGTAGGCGACCAAAATACACTGCTGATGGGAACAGACGATGCAACAGAAGAGGTCTGCCACGCCACGTGGGAATCTCCCTGGCTAGCCGGGAATCTTACCGATGCTGCAGAGGCTGCGGACATCCTCACAGCGCTGTGCTCAACCTGCTGTGCCACCGGGGAGGCCCTTTCTTATGATTTTCTAATTTAGAAATGTGATATTGGTAATAAATTGAAGCTAGCAGGAGATTCATGTTGCAGTATTTGTCCTGCTATTATCTCCCTATGGAATTCATATTTTTGACTTTACTTCTTTCTAATACAATTTTCTCATTGTAAAAAAATGTGCTGTTGGATCAGATTATAAACACCATCATTTCAGTTCCTAACATTCTATGGTGATGTGGATGTATGTTGGTTTGCTAAACAATTCAGAGAATTATGTAATGTTAAACAAGTGGTACATGATAGCACATTAATATATTTTCTTATTTTGCAGATATTGTATTTTATGGTGAGGAAATTGTTCTGGATCCTGATTGAAATGGTGTTCACATGACATCAAGTATTTCTCTAAACTTACAGGATAATGCACTATAAAATTGAATATTACTGCAATCTCAATTTAAAAATAAGGTAAATGTATTTGTTGAGAAGTTTTACTCTTGCATGTTATATCACAAACTTAGTAGACATATAGCTAGTGAAAAAATAATATGTATTTTACACAAGTTATTTATTCATTTGGATAAAACTCCAAGACATCAATTATAGCTGAGTTCTTATTCAGAAATTTTATCCATTTCACTCTACCGCCACATGCAGAAAGGTCGTTTGTACTGATCTTTTTTTCACATAACACCTATCAGGAAAACTCACAATTTCAATGTTTAATACTACTCAGTGACATTGTGGTAACATTAAAAAAAAAATTTTCATTTTACAGCAGTTGATAATACTTTTAAACTTGTTAGCAAGCAGAGAATTTCAGTCCAGTAGCTTTGAATTTGTATGTTCGTATATGAATTTGGCTTATGCTAGGAACAGGTTGATCTCCCCAAACCCATCCTGCAATTAATACCATTAACTTAACTTCTGAATCACCAGGCACAGGTTTGTATTTTTTTTTAATAAAGCACACCCACCCATGAATAATGCACATCACAGTTTAGAAATGTTGTTATTTAAAACTTTGTGCTTTAATTATGCAGCTCAGGTTGTCTAATTTTTTAATTACAATCTAATTTATATACATTTTTGTGACAGAATGAAGACAATGGACTGAGCTTTAATTATCAATCAGACAATTAACTTCCAAGAAGAAAGATCAACATCTATTAAGAAAAGCACTCTACTGCACTCTCATCTCAACCACCTTTCCCAAAATATCATTTATCTTTATCATGCAAGAACATGAGACTACAATGAACAGTGAATTTGTCTCTAAATTATAATCACTGACAGTTTATGTAAATCTGGTTTTAGGAAAATCTCCATAATAAATTTTAGTCATAATTCTATACATGTTTGTGAGCAGAGAATTCAATTCTTCCTTTTATTTTTTTTAACTTTCATTTGTCAGTCTGACCTAATAATCATATAAGATAAATTGACTACATAATGGAAAATTTAGGCAAGGAAGCATCAGAAATCTGTGATGTACCTATGTAGTTTCTGAAACAAAAAATTCTGAGGACACTGGAAATTGTTCAAATTCATTTTATGCTATAAATTAAAATATCGTACATCATAATAATCACAGAAAATTTGGAAGCAGTTGTGCAGAAATAGGTTAACACACCAGGGAAAATGAAGTCTCATTTCAAAATAATCTGAAAGCAATTTCAACACTGTCATCCACACAGGCTCACTGATCTGGTATTGAATTGAGAACTAATTCAAATTTCAGAAAAGTACTGAAATGTCTAAACAAGTGGTAAAATTCTGATTTTTTTCCCAACACATACTGCTTCAAAGAATATTTATTTGAATACATTTCTTTTCAGCATTATCAATGAAATAGTTCTAACTTGAGAACATCAGCCAGGCACCTGATAAAAAATTCCTTCATAGAATTAGAATTTATTTAAATAGAAAAAAAAGTGGGTTTAGATTTTATTGTCAACCTCTTCCCTCTTCCTCTCTCTTTTTTTCTCTCTCTCTCTTTTTCTCTCTTCCCTTACACTAGCCCTGAGAGAAGCGCGGGAGGGTGAGAGGATTCACCAGAGCCAGAGTGGGGAACAGAATAGGCAGACTTGACGAAACACACTGATGAGGAGAGCAGTGGGCGAGACAGGAGAGGTCTGTCGCGCCATGTGGGACCCTCGCCGGCCGGCCAGGATTGAACTGGTGCTGCAGAGGCTGAGGGCAGTTTCGCAGCCCAGTGCTCAACCACTGTGCCACTAGGGGAGGCCCTCAACTGACAATTGTTAAATATTCCTGGAACTCTATTTAACCTGCACAAAATTGAATTTTGTTAGAGAAAAAGATTATTCCACTGAAAATACCCAAATCTAGGAATTTTATTTCACAAGAAACATTTTGTTTCTTGATCAAATTTTTAAATGTACTACAAAAGTGGCCTAGAACTCAACCTAGATTTGTACTCATTTTTATTTGTTTTTATTTGATTTTATTTTTAAAAGATTTTTATTTATGCATACAAGAACTGGGGTACAAGCTAGAGCTATGGGGGGGTGAGAGGATTCATCAGAGACAGAGTGGGAAACAGAACAGGAAGATTGACTGAAATACACTGCTGAAGGGAGCAGCAGGCGAGTGAGAAGTGGTCTGCTGTGCCATGTGGGTAGCTCCCTGGCCAGGATTATTAAGTCTCTTTGCCATACAAAAACTGGGGTACAGGCCAGATGTGTGGGAGGGTGAGAGGATTCACCAGAGACAGAGCAGGGAACAGAACAGGCAGACTGACTGAAATACACTGCTGAGGGGAGCAGCGGGGGGAGACAGGAGAGGTCTGCCATGCCATGTGAGCATCTCCTCGGCTGGCCAGGATCAAACCCACACTGCAAAGGCTGTGGACAGCTTCACAGTGCTGCACTCAACCGCCTGCACCACTAGGGGAGGCCCTGTAATATTATTTATAAATAACATGTTTAAGTTTTATTTCATAGTAAAATTCCATTTTACTAATCATATTATATACCAGGGTTTCCTAAAATATAGTTTGAGTAAAGTTTCTTTAGAATGTTTATTGTTTGCTGAATATAAATGCAAAACAAAGACACATAGAAATAAAAATTGCTAGTGACCTATAGGCCAGAAGTTCTTAGATTCACAGAAAGTTATTTTTGTTCCATTAGAAAAGACTGCTTTACTGTGACTGATAAGTTCCCTGTGGTAAGATTGAATGTGTTTAGCTTTTTAAAAATGTTCTGACATAAATAACATGATACCTGTAAACATATTTTATTTTGAAGAATATAAATTCTAAATTAAAAGTTGTCTCTTTTTTTCATCATTCCGAAGACATCATTCCATTATATCTTGACTTGCATTACTTCTTACAAGAATCTATGGACATGCATGTCATTGTTTTTCTGAACACTTTTTGCTGTATTTCTTTAAAAAATGTAAAATTGTGTTTTGGTAGATTACCATTATTCAAGGGTGATCTTAGCTATACTACTTGTGTTTGACCCTTCTGGGTTTAAAAGGTTCTCTATAAATGTTCTCTGGAAGTTTAATTTCTCCCACTTTTTATAAACTCTATGAGTTATAGAGGTTACAAATTTATGATGTTTTGTCCTCAATGTATTTTATGTTGTTTCCAATTGTCCTTGCCATAATCTGTGTCCTTTCAAAATTAATATATTGAAATCTGATTGTCAATAATATAGTAATTGAGGGTGGTGCATTAGGGAGGTGTTTAAGGCCCTTGTAAATGGAATTATACCCATGTGAAAAAGAGAACTCTCTTCCCTTTTGCTATATGATGACACAGAGAAAAGATAGCTCTCAATGAATTAGAATGTGAGCCCTCAACAGCCAATAAATCTACCAACATATTGATGTAGGACGATCCAGCTTCCAGAACTGTGAGAAATAAATGTTTGTTGTTAACTCATTCAGTATGATTTTGTTATACCAACTCAAATGAACTAAAACAGTCCTAGAGAGAAATGAAAATATCATGCCTTCATAAAGACTTATATATGAATTACACAGCAGTTATATATATAGCAGTTAAAAGCTATAAGCAACTCAAATGGATGTCAATGGGTAAATGGATGAGCAAGTCTTGGTATATCTGCATAATGAACACTTTCACAGAAATATAAAATAATTACTAATGGATGAATATTAAATAAAGTATGCTGAGTGAAAGATATTATACATAGACGATATAAGATGTTTCATTCCAAGTATTTAATGCTAGAAAACTGTTAATCTAATCTATAGTGTCTTAGGGCAGATCAGTCATTTCCTGGGTTGAGGTTTGCTATGGGTTAAACTTCAAAGGAAAATCAGTGAACTCTAATGGAAATGTTAAATATATCTTGATTGTGGTGATTTCCCCATATACATTTATCAAACTAATTGAGCTGCATACTTAAAATGGGTTTATTTTATTGCTTGAAATTTATACCTTCATAAAGTTGGTTATACAATAACTGCAATAAATTACTGGTTAATAATTGACTTACACCATAGATGAGTAAACCATATAATTTTTTGTGTTTCGAATTTCAGCAGTCATTGGCAGAGGGGTGAGAAGATGGAGAGAATTGCTACAAGCAATGTTTAGCATACTGCACTGGGAGAGAAAGAAGCTGAAAAGTGTCAGATAGAAAGGAGGAAAATTTTACCTCAAAATGAATGAAACTCACATCCTACTTTTAACAATTTTATAAACCTACTTACTGATACTGAGTAATTCACCATGTCTCAATTATTGTATTATGCCAACTTGCTGTAGTATTTGAAATAAAAATGCTATAAAAGTTGATATAAAAATTTGAAGTCAGCTACTTCTGATTTTTGTGACATCAGCAACTTTGGTATACTTTTCTTCTGATTTTATACTTTGTTTCTAATGCTCTCTCTTTTTTTAAAGATTTATTTTTACCTATTTGTGCCTGCAAGAACTGGGATATAGGCCAGAGGTACAGGGGGATGAGAGGATTCACCAGACACAGAGTGGGGAGCAGAACAGGCAGATCTACTGAAATACACTGCTGAGGGGAGCAGTGGGTGAGACAGGAGAGGTCTGCTGCACCATGTGGGTCAGCTCCCTGGAGGGGGATCAAACTCATGCTGCAGTGGCTGGCGATAGCTTCATAGCGCTGAGACTTAACTCCTAGGTCACCAGGGGAGGCCCCTCTAACTCTCACCCAGTCACTCTGGAAGTGTGACTTAAACATTTCTTTAAGTTTATCCTACCTATTATGTAGGATGATTCAAATACATATTTTTTTTTTAAAAAATGATTTATTTATTTATGCATACAAGAGCTCAGGTGCAAGCCAGAGATGTGGGGGGTGAGATTCACCAGAGACAGAGCAGGGAACAGAACAAGCAGATTGAGAAATACACTGCTGAGGGGAGCAGCGGACAAGACAGGAGATGTCTGCCTCGCCATGTGGGTTGCTCCCTGGCCTGCCAGGATTGAACGGGTGCCACAGTGGCTAGTATTAGCTTGACAGCACTGTTTCTTTAACCCCTGCACCACCGGGGAGGCCCATCATGGCTTTGTTTCTAAGTAAGAAATTATATAACATTATTTATCATCATTCTTCCTCATATTGTGAAATTGAACAATCATAATATATGGTCTATCCTTCCTTTGAAATAGCTTTTGAAACCCTATATGATGCTTCCCTGCAATTCTTGAACACTCCATTTCTAAATCAGTACACTATCATTTTTTACCTGAACTCTTGCTCCAGCTTGAATGGCTTCCTTGTCTCTACTGATTTCATTATTCCAATTGCAGTTACAGTAATTATGCAAAGCTTGAATCTATGTATTTCACTCTATCCTGACCTAAAAGAGAGAGAAACACACACACTATGTGGTATTTGGGAAAATGAGTAGGATCATGAAGGCAGGCATAAACATATATATCTTTTGAAACTGAATAAATTCCTTGGACATTCATTATTGTTTGTTCATTGTTTTATGATAATTATAGTTTTATGATATTTTTCTCTAAATATGAGAACAATATATGTAAAATATGGAAAACTTGGAAATCACATAGTATCCAATATAAGAATCAATACTAAACCTACATTTTAGATATTTAAGCTGGAAGTGTTTGTATTTTATGCATGTGAATAAAACAGATTGCTAAGAATATATAATCTCCCTCTAGACCGTCTTCCTCCCAATTAATGATTTGCCGCACTTTAAAATATATAAATATGTCACAGAAGTTTGGGATCATTCTAGTGACATGGAATCTTATATCTAAGTAAATCTTGTGCCATCAGACATACAAATTTTCTATAGCTATTGAAGAATTACTTTTATGCAATTGCTAG